TTTATAGAATTTCACTGGCATTTGGATACCTGTGGCCACGATGTTTTGTAATCTACCTAGAGATAACTAGAAGTCGGTTTGAAATCTCTTATTTAACTTTTTCACTAAAAGTTTTATAATTACCTTTACTTTCTTCCCCACATCCCTACATAAATCTATGTCAGGTTGATGTCGAGGTGACTTTCGCCTTCTATCCTGATACCTCAAGAAGGTTAAGCTGGTAGTTGGCCACTTACTTACTTAATTCCCTAGTTGGGGGGAGCCCGATAGATCCCCTAGGAGGCACACCCCACTATCATGACTCCTTATTCTCTTGGTTGAAATGATTAAGTGGACATCAAGCCCATTATTTTCCAAGCTAAAATGGCAAGGCAAATATAGAGAATTACCTGGTTGAGAGAGCTCGACAAAGTCTCTGGGAGGCATTCCTCACCACTTTTCCTCTCTGATGCCCAGTTGTGATCAGGCAGGAATCAAACCCTAGCTCTTTATTCACTTGATTGAAATGATCAAATGGACATCGATCCCATCTATGTCTGCTATACTAAAATGGTAAGGCAGACATAGAGAATTACCTGGTTAGGGGTGCCTGATAGAGCCCTTAGGAGGCACACCCCGCCACCTTAACTTGTTATTCACGTGGTTGAAATGATCAAGTGGACATCAAGCCCATCTATATTTTCCAAGCTAAAATGGCAAGGCAAATGTACAGAATTACCTAGTTGAGAGAGCCGGACAGAGTCTCTAGGAGACATTCTCACCACTTTTCTTCTCTGATGCCTTGTTATGATTAGGCAGGAATCAGACAATGACTCTTTATTCACTTGATTAAAATGATCAAGTGGACATCGAGCCCATCTATGTTTGCTATACTAAAATGGTAAGGCAGGCGTAAGGAATTACCTGGTTAGGGGTACCCGACAGAGCCTCTGGGAGGCACACCCCACCACCTTAACTCAGTATTTGCTTAGTTGAAATGATCAAGTGGACATCGAGCCCATATATATATATATATATATATATTTTCCATGATGAAATGGCAAGGTAGACATAGAGAATTATCATGTTGAGAGAGCCTTATAGAGTCCCTAGGAGGCATTTCTCTCCAACTTCTTCTTCTCTGATGCTCTGTTGTGATCAAGAAAGCATCGGACCCTGACTCTTTATCCACTTGATTGAAATAATCAAGTGGACATCGAGTCCATCTATATTTTCTAAACTAAAATGATAAGGTAGGTCTAGATAATTACCTAGGTAAGGGTGCCTGACAGAGTCTCTAGGAGGCATTCCTCACCACCTTTTACTCCTCTGATGTCCTGTAGCGATCAAGCAGGCGTTAGATTCTGACTCGTTATTCACTTGATTGAAATGATAAAGTGGGCATCGGGCTCATCTATATCTGTTAAACTGAAATGGTAAGGCAGGTGTAGAGAATTACCTGGTTAGGGGTGCCCGACAGAGCCCCTGGGAGGCACACTCCACCAATTTGACTCTTTATTCTCCTAGTTGTAATGACCAAGTGAGTATTGAGCCCATCTATATTTTCCAAGCTGAAAAGACAAGGCAAACATAGAGAATTACCCGGTTGAGAGAGCCTGATAGAGTCCTTGGGAGACAATATTCCTAACCAACTTTATATATATATATATATATTAAGCTAAAATTACAAGGCATATGTAGAGAATTAACCTGTTGAGAGAACCCGACAAAGTCCCTAGGAGGCATATCTCACCACTTTTTTTCTCTGATGCCCAGTTGTGATCAGGAAGATGTTAGACATTAACTCGTTATTCACTTATTTGAAATGATCAATTAGACATCAAGCCCATAAAGTCTCTAGGAGGCATTCCTCATAACCTTTTTCTTCTCTGATGCCCTGTTGTGATCAAGTAAGCACCAGACCTTAAATTTTATTCAATTGGTTGAAATGACCAAGTGAGTATTAAGGCCATCTATATTTGTTAAGCTAAAATGGCATGGCAGATATAGAGAATTATCTTATTGAGAGAGCCTAACAGAGCCCCTAGAAGGCATTCTTCACGATACCTTTTTACCTTATATCCTGCTGTTTTGACAAAATCAGGCAGATAGTTGGACTACTTTGCTTTTTTGCTCTCCCGTCAACTCTGCACTTATTATAGGGTAAGTCTAGTGGGGAATTTATTTACTACTTTAGTTTGTTTCTTTCATCGGCTCTGCCCTTACTATACGGTAAGGCTAGGAGAGGATCCCACTACTTTTTCACCTTTTGGCGATTCCCACTCTGCTCCTTGTTCTCTTCTAGACTCTGTCCTTACTATAGGGAAAGGCCAGGCAAGGATATTAATACTCTTTCTTCTTTTGATGATCTTTATTGTTTCTCCTTACTCCTTTTTGCTTGTCACATTCGGTCAACGCCAAGACGAGTGGTTCACTAATTTGTTCACCACACCTATTAGGAGTCCGTTTATTGACTCTATTTTTTTTTTAGTGCACTTGACGGCCTTTAATCGATTTAATTAAACCCCACTCGAGATGATGTATTGGGTGGGGGAAACATATTGTTACGATTAGGTCATATATATTACTACCCATCGAGGTGCACTGGTGTGAGCTGCTATCCTCAATTGTTAGTCATATGTATGATCTAATTTTCCCTTCCATTGGCCCATTTGTGAGGAGTGTGGAGGTCTGCAATCATTTCTATCCCTTGAGGTGGTGAAGTCATGTACCCTCTCCACTCTATAGGCTGCGGTGTCCTTTCGAAGGTCCATAATTGGCATCAACTATGATGAGGTATTTGTTTCTATTGCTCGACTTGAAACTATAATGCTAATCATTTCTTTGGTAATTCAAAATAGGTGGAAAATATATCAAATGGATGTAAAGTCAGCCTTTCTAAATGGAGTATGTGAAGAGGAAGTCTATATTCAACAACCACCAGCTATAAAGTTAATGGGCAAAAAAGATATGCTTTTAAAGCTGAAAAAGGCTCTCTACAGGTTAAAACAAGTACACAGAGCATGAAACAACTACATCAACAAGTATTTCCTTGAGAATAACTTCATCAAATATCCTTATGAACATTCCCTCTACATAAAAGTCAAGGATAAGGATATTTTGATAGTGTGCAAGTATGTGGATGATTTGATCTTCACTAGAAGTAATCCAAGAATGTTTAAAGAATTCTAGAAAGTGATGGCTAAAGAGTTTGAGATGATGGAGATTGGATAAATGGCATACTACCTCAGTATTGAAGTTAAGAAAAAGGATAAAGGCATCTTTATTTCTCAAGAAAGCTATTGAAAAGAAATACTCAATTAATTCAATATGAATGATTGCAACCTCATAAGCACTCCATTGAAATGTGGAGGGAAGTTATCAAAAAAGGAGAATAATGAAATGGTTAATCCAATATTTTTCAAGAGCTTGGTTGGTAGCTTGCACTACTGACTTGCACTAGGCTAGACATCCTTTATATTATTGGAATTGTTAGCCATTATATGGAGGCACCAACAACTACTCACTTGAGCAAGGTTTGAACTTTTAGAGAGAGTGTCCTAGTGAGAGAGTGTCTGGTTTCCTAGTAAAAAAAATTTAATTTTAAAATTTCTATTCCCTCTTTTTCATGCTCCATCTTAATAGTAGATGATCTCTAATCATCCTCTGATGATTCTTTGATGCGTCTAATGGGAGATTTTCATTTTCCTCTGATGGTTCTTTGGGAAATTCATGAATAGCTTTGAATCATTCGGGTCATTCATCTGGTGAAGTTTTTAATGGTGGTTCAAGTGGGTTTTTTTTCATGGGAGGTTATAATAAGGGTGTTAAAGAAAGACCTTTGGTTATTAATGAAGGAGGTTTGCTGAGTGCTAAGAAGGATTTAAATGCGGTAGGGAAGGGTAAGGAAGTGATGATTGATGATGGGTTTAAATTCCCTAAACCTGTTATGTCTAAATCCTTGAAATTTTGTACTGGTGGAAATTTAGATTTAGATGCTTCATCTTCTTTTGGCTTGAAGATACATATTAGTAGGTTAGGCCATTCAAATCCTGGTAGTCCTGGGAATCAGGTGAGTAAAAGTGATAATTATTTGATAGGTGCAATTGTGGTGGGTACTTCTTCTATTATTATAGAGAAGGTTATTGATCCTAATCCTGAGAGGGTTGGTGCTGGGTTTTCTTTAAAGTCAGATGATTTAGAAAAAGGTTTGCTATTATGTCTCAGGTGAATTAAATATGGTTGATCAAGATCAAAATGAAGTGTCTGTTCCTGAAATGGTAAATCCTGTCAGTAATGTGATGCCAAATATTTGAGCTAGAAAGCCAAACACAAAAATTAATAATTTGGACATGGGATTTTATTTAACGGAAGATGGGAAGGATGTGAAGTTACATGCGGGAAATGAATTGGTGAATACAAAAAAATCTGGAAAATACTTTGGTTACCAAAGTGTTTAGTGACAATATTCTTTTAATGTGATTAGTCTTGAGCTAAGAAGACAATAGAGTCATTTTTGAAAATTTCATCTTAGTATGTTGGGATTAGATTAAGTTATTTATTCATTTGATGAAGCAACTATTATGGAGTCAATTTTGACAAAAAGACCTTGGTTTGTTTAGGGGCACATTATTGGTGTTGATAAGAGGTCACCATCTTTTTGTCTGAATTCTCTAGAAGGCCTTTCAGCTCTGGTGAGGATTAGGATGCCTAATCTACCTTTGCAATGTTGGGATGAGATTAATATTTGTAGGATTTCTTCTCAAGTTGGAAAGCAGTTTTTATTAGATGGGAATATGTTTCAATGGGGAAGGAGAGAGTTTGCTAGAGTGTGTGTTCGAATCATGCTGGATAGACAGCTTCCCTTAAGTGTTTGGGTGGAAGGGAGTTCTGATAGGTTTTTCCAAAATATTGAACATGAAAAAGTATAAAAATTATGCTTTAATTGTGGAAAGATTGACCACCTTAAAAGTAACTATTCATAAGTGAGGTTGGTGGTGAAAAAAGGTGGGGGTGCTCCGATGTTGTCTAAAGTTGATGTTGGCCTTAAAGCTGTAGGAGGTTGTGGCACTGCTAGTATGGTGAATTTAGAAGTTGGGTATGGGCCTGGAGTTCATGTTAATTATGGGAAGGTAAGGTTGACGTTTTTGGCTAAAAGGATTAAAATTCAAAATATTGTTAAGGGAGAAGGGAGTATCCTGTTGTTGGCGATAAAGAAAATCTGGTTATTAGCTCTTATGGGACTGTTGTTCCTGAACAGGACCTTAAAAGTGCTGCTCCGATTGCTGAAGTTGGTGAATCTGCTGATTGTATGAAGCTGAAGATAGTGACTCTTGATATTGGTGCTGTTTCAGATTTACATAAGAATTGCAATTTCATAATTCTCTTCCTATTATTCTTAACGATAATAAGTTTGATGTGCTTAATGGTATTGATGAGGAGGGAGGTTCAGCTGTTTGTGCTAAGAAGGTGAATGGAGTTATTGATGGCAATGTTAGTAGTGGTAAGGGGAGGTTGTGGATTCTCCTAAAATGGCCTCTTACAAATCTGATTTGGGCACGGTTGAGGAAGGGGTTAAGAATGATGGATCTACTTCTTCTTTCAAGTGGAAATTGGGAAAAGAATTGAAGATGCTCAGTCCTATAAAGTTGATGCCTAGAAGCAGGAAATTGGATGTGGAAAATAAAGAAAAACAACCGAGGATTGCTCCCCTATCAATTATCAATGAATTTGATTGCATTTTGGAATTATAGATGATCTAAAAAAGTGCAAGCTTCCCGATATCTTAAGGAATTTTTGAAGGATAATGATGAGGATTTTGTTGGTTTTATGGAGACAAAGGTAGCTTTAATGGACAAGAAAGATGTTAACTTGTTTATTGGAGTAGATTGGGATTTTTTTCACTTTCCTTCATAGATTATCTAGGGGAATCATGGTGTTATGGATGTCTAATGTGGATTCTCTTACTACTTTGGATTCTTCATATCTATGTATGATTAGGGATTTAAATATCTATAACAAAGGAGTTTGGAGGATTGCTACTGTTTATGGGAATAAAGATATTTATAAAAAGAGGGAGTTATAGAACAAATTAGAGTTATTTTCTTCCAAAGATATGTCATCTGTGGTGGGTGGTGACTTCAACTGCTTATTATCTAAAGGTGATAAAAGGGGAGGGAAAAGGTTTGTGTTTTCCCAAGGACCCAAGGAAATGAAGATATTTTTAACTAATAATGATTATCATGAAGTGGGGTATATTGGGACTAATTTCACTTGGTGTAATAACAATGTTGGAGGAGCTCAAATTTTAGAAAGATTGGATAGCTACTTTGTTAACTCTGCTGCTATTAATTTTTTTCATTTCATGGTGGTTTATCATCTACCCAGGGTGTCTTCAGATCATTGCCCTATTATTTTAAATCTTTGGAATTGTCTTCCTAAGACAAACAAGGTCATCAGATTTGAAGATACATGGGCTTCTCATTTTGCTTCATTAGCCATAGTTCAAAAAGCTTGGAGTAGGAAGATAGTTGGAGTCCTGATATTCTTGATATCAAGTTTAGAAGGGCTTTAAAAGCTTTATTCTACTAGAGTAGAGCCAAGTTGAATGATCTTAATCAATTGAAGGAATCTAATAAGAAGAAAATTTTGGAGTTGCAAATGAAGGAAGCAAATGCTGGAGGGCTCTCTAATGAGAAAATTTTGATCTCAAAACAATGGTGAATGAGCTTAATAGCACTCTTGCTCCATTGGATATGTGGTGGAGACAACGGGAAAATGTTAAATGGATCAAAGACATGGAAACTAATTCAAAGTTTTTCCATTCTTTTGAAAGTTTTAGAAGGAATGCTAACCATGTTTACATGATCAAGGATGATAATGGAGTGATAGTGGTTGACCAAGTTCGGATTGGAAGTATTTTTTTTCAATGTCTTTAAAAATAATGTTGAAACTTATTGTTTCTAAAATAGGTTGTTAGAAATAAACTAATGTCACAAAGCTAACTAAGAGGGGGGCAGGGGGGGGAGGTGAATTATTAATTTTAAAATTTAAACCTTCTTGGATTTAAATATGAAACTGATTAATTATTCGTAGCAAGTTAATTTTATTTCAACCACAAAAAAAAAAACTTGCACAATTTAAAGCAGCGGAAATAAAAAGACACAAAGGTTTATAGTGGTTCGGTCAAACACTACCTACATCCACTCCCCGAGTCTCCCACTTTAGGTATTCCACTATTAACACAAGTGTCTCTCATTTTGTCCCTACAGCAAGGCATAGAAGCCTTCACAAAACTCTCTTCCACCAATACCCGGTGCGGTAGAGAACCGTCGTCCTTTTACACCAACCAAGTGTCGGTAGAGAACCACGGGCTATTCACACTTCTCCAAGTGTAGGCAGAGAACCTTCATCCTTTCACACTCTTGAAGTGTAGGCAGAGAACCTTCATCATTCACAATCTCCAAGTGTAGGCAGAGAACCTTCATCCTTTCACACTCTCTAAGTGTAGGCAGAGAACCTTCGGCTATTCACACTTACAAAGTGTCGGTAGAGAACCTTTATCCTTCCACACTCTCCAAGTATAGACAGAGAACCTTCAGCTATTCACACTTCTTAAGTGTCGGCAGAGAACCAGATCTTCTTGAAAGATCTTCACAAGTGCAATCTAGAAAGATAAGAGAAAGAGTGAAGAAAAACACAAATCATACACAGAGATCCTTATCCTTGAGTAACCTTGTGAATCCTTCATGCTCCATTAGGTAGAAATCTCTCTCAAACACTCTCTCACTATCTCTCCTTCAATTTCCCTTCACAAATCACGAAGACCAAATGACAAAAATACTAAGTGTAACTTTTCATTGGACCTTCTATACAAAAGACACAAAAATCCATCCAAAAAATTAAAATTTTCAATTTTGATAGTCCATGAGTGTACTGTACGATCATATTTTGTACTTATAAATAGTTCAAAAACTGTTGCGTACAAATCCATTATGAATTGGTACGAACTTTATTTGTACCCGATCATCATCCATATGAACTGTGTTTGTCAGGTACTAAAAGAAAATTTCAAGCACGTATGTAAAAATCGTTAGGATGAAATGAATGAAGACAGAACAGAGCACATCAGCCCGGGATGAATGAAAATATCGTCCGTATGAACAGTCTTTGAGGACGAACCAGAGGGCATCATCCTGGTATGAACAAAAATATCATCAGTATGAGCAGTGTTCGAAGACGAACTAGTGGGCATCATCCCGGTACGAATAAAAAATATCATTTGTATGAACTTCACATTTGGCAATAGAGAAGATCATCCTGGGATGAATAAAAAATATCATCCATTTGGTCTTCACATTTGGCAAAAATAGAGAAGATCGTCCTGGGATGAACGAAAAATATCGTTCATACGATCTTCACATTTAGCAAAAACAGAGAAGATCATCATGGGATAAATGAAAAATATCATCCATATGATTTATACTTGGAATTTTTTTTCCATTTTCTATTCATTCCATTGTTCGTTGGGAAAATAATTGACCAGATCATCCCGTAGAAAGGGTATCGTACAATACGATTAATTTTAAAAAATATGAATTTTAAAACTCTCTCACGGTGTGTGTGTGTGCTCGGTTAATCAATTACAATCACACACTCTCAGACTCAATAAAATGAAAAATACAGACTTCAATTTATAATATGTAATTACGAGATGTGCTAAGAGGGGGGTTGAATTGTGAAAAATTGTTGCAATAAAAAAAATCATAAATAGGAGTTCTAATTATTTTTTGTGTTTTTAAATTTTAAGCAGAAAAATTTAACTAATGTGGAAGTGAGTACTTGAACACAATTTGCAACAACAAATTCCACAACATTTTCACCAAGCAATTATAATGAAAATAAAATGCAAGCGAAAATAAAAGTGGTAAAGGAAAAATCACACCAAAGATTTTATAATGGTTCGGTCACTTGACCTATGTCCACTCCCCGGAGTCCTCCACTTCAGGAATTTCACTACTAAATAATAGTTCTCCTTTTGCCCCCTCAGCAAGGCGGAGAAGCCCTTACAAACGTCACTTTCACCAACCTGGCATGGAAGAGTGTCAAGCGCTTTGTCACCCTCCTAGTGACGAAAGCATACCTTCTCATTTTTCTCCCTCCTGGAGAAGGCAGAGTACCTTAGAGGACACGGATGTAGAAGAGTCTCCCACTCAGAGAGCTTCCCACAAGATCTTCTCGGGCCACAGGAGGAACAAAGTGCAACAAGCTCAGAGCAATCGTGTGATCTCCCTCACACTCCTCCCTCACCAAGCCCACCTCTCCTTCCTCTCATAAACCCTAAAATCTTCTAAAGAGCTCTCTCTCAAGGAAACGCTCTCTAATCATGTTCCCCTCTCATAGTCTCTCTTCAAAAAAATAAAAGAATTGATACTTAAAACGGGCTGCAAAAAAACCTAAAATTCTCCAATTAGCTATTACTATAGTACAGTACGATCCAATATCGTACATTACGATTAGTACAAAATGGGATCGTCCTGGTACGAAGGTTTACAAACATGTTAAAAAGTTTGAACACAATCATATGGTATGATATGAACTTGTACAATACAATATGTAAAACTCTTCTATTCATACAGGATGATTTTCGGGATGTTCAAACTCATCTCTATACATCATAAGGTATGACCAACATCATATAGTATGATTAGTCAAAATCAAGGGATCATCCAGTATGAAGTCTGGGATGATAAAAAAATAGCATCGGTTGATCATACAGTACAAACAATATCGTACAGTTCGATAACCAATCAGAAATTAATCCTTGATTTATCCACTAATCAAGTGGTTAATTTAAGTAAGTATTCAAAATAAATCTTACAGTATGAACATGTTTGTATAGAAGGAACGACTATTAAACTTACTTAAATTAAATCGGTGCATAGGGTTTTGGATTAGTAACACATCGTACAATATAATATAAAACGTACAGTATGACTTATTTACATAAAGTTGTTTCAGCCATATCAAATCATACAGTATGATATAAACTCATATAGTATGATCAATAGAAAAAAAATTACATTTTTAAAACCCTCCCCCCCTGTGTGTGTGCATGGTTGTTAAGTCTTATATGTAATTTATGGCCAAACTCAAGAAAAGAAAAGATAAAATAAATGAAAAATTACAATGTTATAAACTCACACTCCTACTCTATACAGCCTTGAGTCTTCTTATTGTCTTGAGTAACTTGTGATCTCCCTGAAATATTAGTACTCACAGATAATAGCAGAAATAAAAGGTATTCAATGAGTAGTAATTCAGACTACATTATTTGTCATCATCAAAATTTCAGACTAGGGGTCATAGATTGCAACACAATACACTCTAAGCTTATCTTGATTTGAAGTCTTTAACAATCTTGAGTATGATTTTCCTAAAATATTAGTACACACAATAGCAAAACAATTCTTTCAAAATATGTTAGGAGAAAT